ATTCCTCTAAATTAAACCTGACAAATTCCAAGCTATTAGTTTTGGGTTTTTTTACCTGATGTGCCAACTTCTTGCTCAGGACTCCACATCCTTGTCCTAACACCAATCACTTTGCAAGTAATTAGGGGACTCTGAAGTGCTTGCAGCTGCTGAGAGGCTCCAGGAGTGTTTTCTCCACACCTAGACGTACCAAAGGCAATGATACTCCCTCAGCACAAGACCTGCCTGTTCAGCACTGAGTCTTGTCTATTGAATAAGTGCAGAAAAAAAAAAAAAAAAAATTTTTGACCAATATTTCATATTATTTTTCTACTTTAAACAAAATTTTAGCCACATTTCCTAAGGAAACAAGGCATAGGCAGTTATATGATCCCACTGTACATTCAACCTCCTCCTCCTTCTGTTATTTTGAAACACAATAGCCAATTTCAGCTACACTTGAGAGTAAGGGAGGAGTCTCATAGTTTCACAGTTTTTAGAAGTTTTGTTCACTAGCATAACAAAGGAAAGATGCATTAGTGCCCATGTAGTGTGCAGGACTAAAAAATTCAGTCTTATTTCAGGGAATTGACACAAGCACGACATAGTAGATAATGGTCTTAAATTCTCTGACTCACAGAACTCTTTGTTTCAGTTTTGTTCCTCTGTCTTTCTGGGAAAGGCAAGCAATAATGAATACCTCCACGGAAAAGCCAGCACACTGTTTGCTTAAAGCTTGCTCAGATGTCTACAAGAGCTACAGTTACTGATTTTTTTTTTCTTTTTAATTTAAAAATCAGTAGGAAAAGCGAAGCCACTTTTCAAAACCATTTCAGTTGTGCAAATGCAATGCTCCAGGTTAAGTACAGAGTGTTGTTATTTTTGGAGAGTAACTGACCAGGCTCAGCCCAAGCAAATTCAAACCAGGATGTTTTCACAGTCAGAACAGAAATGCCAACAGCAGAACAGCATGAATGGTGAAAAGAAAAGATGTAATTTTAGTTATCCACAGGTGCCGTTTGTAAGATCAGTAAGATCACTTCAGCCAGACTTTCAGCTAGTACAAACAAGCACCGTTTATTAACTTTGGAATACATGGACTAGGGTTCACACCCACTGAAGCAGAGCTTGCTTCATATTTTGAGAAGGACCAAGTCAGAGCTACTGAAGCCAATGTACATACACCAACTTATCCTAGGTAGCAACATTTTGGCAGTTTTTAATATCAAAGTGTCCCATTTAAGAAGACTCCTAAAAGTGCATTTAATTCCTTCCCTAGTAAGAAACATTGCTATCCATGTCAAGGAAACAACTACAATCTCAAGTTTGCCAGCAAAAATTATTTGCTGGCATTATAAAGAAATGGTATTTCAGCCACATCTATGTCAGAAGCCCACTGTTGCTGGGTTTTGACCTTTCCGAAAGGGAGAACACCCTCCGAGTTTGCAATGTGATGCTTTGGCTAAGAGAAACAAAATTCAGAACTTTCACCCCTTCTTAGTCAGCTGACTCCCTGTTTTAGAGTCAACTCATCTCAGCACAAACCTGATGTCTGTGATAAAACTAGCAAACCTGATGCTCTGTGCAGCTGAGCTTGCTCTCTGTATTTAAGCGCATGCAAGACAAGAATTAGGGATGTAAGCATGAGTGCAATTGGTTTTATATTCCAATTTTGAGGGACCTTTTCAGACCAATGACTGTCAGGCACTTTCAAAGAAAATCACCATCCCCACTGGTTATCTCCAGTCTCTTTAATACAGAACACAAATTCCTCTAGCAACCTGCTGCTGACTTTCAACCGTTTTCTCTCGAAGAGCAGAATAATGAGATGAAGAAGAAATCAAGTCTTAAATTTTGAGAATTTTTAAAAAGTCAAAACTTTCTTGTTTGCAGCCCCTTCCCCCCCTACCACCACAGCTACATATGCACAAACACATATACATTTCCTCAGTGTGCAGGTACATTGGTACACTCTTATTTTGGAGAGGAACAGCAACTCATAATAAAGCTTTGTGAATAGTACATTATGTACTTGTGCTCCCCCTACAGAAAAACGAGTGCAGCTTTTGTCTATCTGATTCTCCCAGTTTAGCAAAGTGAGTGTTTAAAATTGCATCCTGTGGTCAAGAGACTTAAAACAAGTTGATACAATCCTAGTATAGGTTTTCTGATCAGTGCCACATAAGAGAGACAGTCTTTGCAGTAACTGCCACAAAGAAAATACAAATCTTGAGACATGCTTTGAGGTTCTTCAGCAACAAGAAATACAGCATTTAAATGACTAAGACTGGCACTAACTGTCATGGAAGGTTTACAGACACTTTTGTAAATTACACGGTAGTTCCAGACTTCTATACATAGTTGTGCAGGTATGTCTAATAGATGTAAAAGTAACTCTTGGCAGACTACAATTTGGAGGACTGGACTACTACTCAGAGAGCATACTGTTTAATAAACTACTTTGCTTCATGGAGACCTGCACTTCACCACACAAGTACCCTAATATAACACGATCACTGCCATAACATCCCTGGAAGTGTTCAAGGCCAGGCTGGATGAGGCTTTGGGCAACCAGGTGTAGTGGAGGGTGTCCCTGCCCAGGGCAGGGGGGTTGGAACTAGATGATCTTTGAGGTCCCTTCCAACCCAGACCATTCTGTGATTCTATGATAATACAAAAGTTCGCTTGCACTGGAACATCACAAGATACCAAATTATTATACTTTGCAATTCCCACTATTTCAATAATTATCTTTTCTAGTTATTATCCCAATGTAAAAACAAGTTACAAAGCAAGGTGGTGGTGCCGATTCAGGAAAATGGCACCTGTTCTCTGCCTGCATGATCCCAGCAGACATGAGTACAATGGACAAGTTTTGTAATCTACAGCCCCATCATGATGCTCCCCAAGAGCAAGAGAGGTTTTATGTCAAAGTAGAGAGAGATAAGACCAACTTAAGCCTTAGCAGACAAAAATGTATACCCTTGGGCAATTTGTAGATTTAGAGACTACAACAAAGATAGAACTTATAGGATTAAGATGGACAAAAAGAAAATCAAGAAAGAATAAACCTCAAAACTGAAATCAGTACTGATAAATGAGCGGGGCATGCTGCTGCTGTCTTCTATAAAGTCTTTTGCTCCGTGTAATTCCAAAGGCATCTCAACTCTTTAGCAGTCAGCAATCTCCTTGAAATGTGAAAACTGACTAGCATTTTTCCCCTAGTCAGAAAAAACAGCAAGCTTGAACTAAGCGCCAGCAAACGAAGCCGTAGGACTGACAGAAAACAACAATGCTGGCAAAAAGGCTCTTAAAACAAATGTGATAGATCTGACATTGAAGGTGCTAATCTTAGACTCCAGCCTTTCACCTATGCACCTTCATGCAGGTAATCCATATTGATACTTAGGAAACACCTAGATGCAGCCTACGTATTTAACAAACCTGTAAGCCAGGATCAACACTCAACCTTCTCTTGCTCAGTGAGTCTCTAAGGCTCACGGCTAGACATTCTCCACCTCATTGAAATTCTGACAACAGGCTGAATGAGAGAGTCCCACCGGTCCTGGTTAAAAGCAACTGCAGCCTAAAGCATGAAAAGGATGGAAACTTTTTAATTTTTCTGATCAAAGTTGCCTACTGTTAACACATGGTTTGGAAAAAGAACTATAAAAATGTGCTAACCACACATTTCTACAGGACTTCAATACAGTTCTCAGAATGTCAACAGTTCTCTAGCACGATTAATCAATTTTTAAATGTGGGTGTACCCTTTCCTGAAAATACTGACAAAAAGATCCAGCTAGCTCCCACGTGAACAGCTAGGGAGTTTCAGAGGCTTTGAACTCACTGCCATCTAGCGACACGGACAGCGGAGCTCCACACACAGAACTCGGACACGTCTCGGTGTGCTAGGAGCCACTGTCCTTCCTGAAGTGAGACTAAACTGTACCTTGTAGCAATGAATTCCACAAGTTATTTTCTTCTTCCCTTCCAGTTTAGTCAAGTGTCCTGCTCCTAGCAGATAAAAGGGAATGCATTTTCAGGGTAGCTTCCCTGTATGCTGCAGAGTGACGAGCCTAAGAGAGCTCATTCTTTTTCCCCGCTTTCTCTCAGAGGTCGGTCCATCCCATCTATCTGCTGGAATACAGACAGGGAAGAACTAAATCACACAGAAGTTAACTGTCTCAAACAGAAAAATCAAAAGCAAAACCCGAAACAGAACCCAGATATAAAGTCCTCTGTCAGGGTTTAAAATAAACATCTATATTTTTCACAGCTTTCATGACTCTCTTCAACCATGTAAAACCAGCTGATTACAATGAGGTCATCTCAGGCACAAAACACTTTTTGTAGTTAATGAATAATTAGCTCTGAACTTTTACTGATACTAAAATCTGGATGTTCTATATGACAAGAGTCAATCATAGAAAAAAAATATTTTTTTTTTATGAGCACAAAACAGAACAGAAAATATAAATACATCTTTTAAGGATGCTCACGCAATGCCTAAGGCATATGCACTTTGAGGCTTCAGATAAGCGAAAATCAACGCTTTTGCAGACATATTCAATGGAATTCTGATCCAATTCCTATTTCGCCAGAACTCTTTAATAAACACCAGCTCTTCTATAGTAAGGCTATGAAAGAATGTGATTTTGAAAAGAACTTTTCAACATGCTTATGTCTTATATAGTTGTGCTTAGAATCAGAAGAATTCTTCCACTTATCCCATCTCTCACAACCAATTGTTCTTATAGCACATTGTTCAGTCTAATCTTAACCAGCAACTCCAGGAATTCAGCTGCAGTCTAAGACACCTTTGCTCAGACACACAGGTGGAGGGCAGCAGCACAAGACTGTACACAGCAGTGCCAAGTCACTACACAAGGGCTCACACCATTCTTTTGAGGAGGAAAAGCATACTGTCGTCAGCTTTGCCCTTGGAAAACTGCTCACCAAGACAAAGTTTCCTCCTACCAATTTCATCACACTCAGAAAAAGGCTGAAAGTAATCCGTGTACTTAAGTACTTTTTAATTACAATTAACAGGTTAAAGCTCAATACAAGTGTTTTTATCGCTTTGAACTTTTCAGAAATATCTTGGGTGTTTGCCATCCTGCAGGAGGACTTTTCAAACCAGCTCTTTTCCAGATGCGCTCCAAATCTTTCTCAAATTTTATCTACAACAGAAAAAGAAAACAAAAAGAAAAAATATTAATGTAGCTCAACAGCAACACTCAAGTCTCAAGCCACTGCCCATGCGGAATCTAGGTACAACACACACAAAGGAAAAATGCTTTTAAGTAGGCAGCTCATTCTAGGTGTCAAAATAGTTAGCCTTACTGCAGAAAATACGTTAAAATGCACCAGGATCTTGGTACCATTATTTTTAAAGTCCTATGCAAGGAACACTGAGAAGATGGAAAAGAAAATTCTAAGAAAATTAAGAGGATTTTCTCATCATACAGCTTTCAACACTGCTTCCTACAAATCTGAAGAAATGGAATTACAATTAACCCAAATTTGCACCCTTTTCCAAAGGTGAAAATTACCAGAGAATGAACTCAAGTATATCATAGCAAACCTAACAGACTATGGAAAGGCAGTGTTGAATGAGAACACACACAGTTTGAATTACGGCCCATGCCTTCCCTTATCCCTTCTGTTAAGGGAACTAAAAGGCTTCTATACAGAAAAAGACAATAGGAAGCACTTGAAGACATTGGCAAGACAGGAAAGAAGTTGAACCAGACTCCCTGATATAACACAAACGCGTGAATTAATCTTTCACACAATCGCCAAAATTCTTCTCCATTAGCTGTATATTTGTTAAGTTACTGCCAGGCAAGAAAAATTACACACAGTAACTACCACACATGTAAGTTCACAACCACAGAAATATTCTAAGTTACAACTGCTGAAAACGTACAGGTCAAACACAAAACAGAAAAAGCCATTGTACCAGTAAATACCGAATTCTTTAAGGCGCTCTGAGCTGCTGACATTTTTCCTCAAATCAATTCCACCTAAAAACATCATCCAGCACCTGAGCAGAGGCCAGTTTAAGAAGGGGGCACATTTTTGTCAAGAAGTTCTCTCTACCCTGAACATACCTGACGTTTCTTCTTGCGACTTTCCTTTATCCTCCTCCGCACAAACTTTCTTCGCTTCAGCAGCTTTTTGAACTTGTGCCGATTCATTTTCCTTCTGCGAATCTTCAAAACGTTCTTACATTGAACCGTGTTGCTAAGTGCTCCCTCTCCTTCCTCCACATTAGCTCCCTCATCAGATGGAGGACAGTCATATCGCTGGAGAGGCTCATAGCCCACTTCTTCCTGAGCATTAAGGATCTCTGCTTTAGGAAGGGAGTATCTAACTGTGAGCCAGCTTTCTAATGGGCTGATGGAAAGTTTCCTGGGGATCAGCACCTCTTCCAGTTCAGGGTCCAGAGCATTCCACCGCTGAGGTACAGCTCCACTCTTGTTAGATGGCTGTGTGCTATAGCACGCAGATGTAAAACGATAGCAAAGAAAGGAAGACACTGACCTGGGCAAAAGGTGGCCTTTGAGAAGAAAATAATTTCACTTAAAAGGCAGAATTTTCAAACAGTATCTTAAGAAAAGCTCTGACCAGCTCTCAAACCACCAGACAACTGTGGCCAGAATAATCTAATAAAGGAAGCTGCTTACAAAAATTACATTCCCACCACAAAAGCAAGAAAGAATTTTTTAATTTGAATTTAATTATGTCACCATAACACCATCTGCTAAAACCACATTACACAATATTTCACTGTGTAAACTGCGTAAGCACAATTTGGAACAGCTGGGAACTGGTCACTATATTAACCCTTTCTGCTGCTGAGAAATCTCCTCCTAAGCTTGAAAGAGGTCAAATCAGAGCTACGTAACACTGACAGAATAGGTCAGGCACATTAACATCCCACAAGAGCCTCTCCACTCTTGCACTGCTTGCTGGAAAAGAAATTTCTGGGAGTCTAATTACCCTAAAAAAAAGAAACAGAAAACCAGGTCGCACAACACCTGCTTACCTGCAGGTCGTGATGCCTTCAGTAACTGGGAAGTCAGCTGTGACAGCAACATATCGTTTTGCTTTGTTCACTGCCAGAGCCAGTAACTGCTGTTAAAATAAGAACATTCATTCCATGAGGCAAACATGCTGTTTTTACACATAGAAAAAAAAAATGATTCTAAATTTAACCCCAAACTTCAAACCGACGGGCTCAGACACTACAAACATCCTCTTCGCTGCCGCAGGGGCCTGGCCCACACGCA